CTGACTTAAAACTCAACGCTCAGGAAACTAAGATCATGGCATCTGGTACCATCACTTCATGGCAAATAGAAAGAGAAAAAGTGGGAGAAGTGACAGATTTTATATTCTTGGTCTCCAGAATCACATGAAATTAAAAGACACTCACTCCTTGGAAGAAAACCTTTGGCAAACCTAGACAGCGTATTAAAAAGCAGAGATATCACTTTGCCGACAAAGGCTCATCTAGTCAAAGCTGTGGTTTTTCCAGTAGTCATGTACGGATGTGAGAGTTGGACCATAAAGAAGTCTGAGTGCTAAAGAATTGATGCTTTCAGATTGTGCTGGAGAAGACTCTTGAGAGTCTCTTGGACCGCAAGGAGATCCAACCAGTCAATCCTAACGGAAATCAACCCTGAATATTCATTGGAATGATTGATGCTAAAGCTGAAGCGCCAATTTTAACCACCTGATACAAAGAGGCAACTCTTTGGAAAAGACCCTGTTGCTGGGAAAGATTAAAGGCAAAGGGAGAAGGGGGCAGGAAAGGATGAGATGGCTGGATGGCATCACTGACACAATGGACATGAGTTTGGGCGAGCTCTGGGAGATGGTGAAGGACAGAGGAGCCTGGCCTGCTGCAGTCCATGGGGTCACGAGAGTCAGACACGACTTAGTGACTGAACAAAAACAATAAAAGCAGTTAAGATACACACCTCAGGAAGAATTTCAATGACCCCACTTTGTTGCAGAAAAGCATAAACATCATCAATTTGAGACATCTGCTCTATTTGATTAGTAGCAGGCTTTTACTGAGAGGTATACTTGACTGCCAAATATTTTCTAGCAAAGACTTTCATGTGTATACTGGCTACTCCCCCGCCTCTTCAGACCAGTTTCTCAGAGCTACTGAGAGACTGTCTCCCAGGCTGTCGTCCTCAGTAAGACCCTGAATAAAGCTTAAACTCACAACTCTATGTTGTGTGTTTTTCTTTAAGTTGACAGACAGATAGGTACTCACTATCTCTTAAGTTTTTTAAATCTCTAAGATGGTACTCATATTTAGGGAGTATTTCAAGTGCTGGCTCTTTAAAACTATTTTTTATCAGATTGCCAAGAGAGTCATTTTATTCATAATATTTAAAAAGAAGTATCAAAAAGCTGTGCTGCATGGTCTCACTGACCAGGGAGCTCACATTCCAGCTGATGGTTTTATTAAATGTAATGTAAGAAGATCCAAAGTCATTTTTAAAAGTTTTACTTAAATATGCTTTATTATGATGAAGTGTTCAGTTTAATCAAGATCAATCATGGGGCAGTCTAAAGAGAATAAGTGATCAGAAGCAGTGGAATGACAAACATGGTAGATTCTCTGAGTCTAGGTTTTAGAAATTCAACCAACACATTATCAAGTCATATTACCATTGGCCATGCTTTTGCTTAGGACTGATTTTTGAATACTATGAAAGAAAGAATTAATAAAGAGCAATATTAAATTAAGAATAATACTATAATATTAAAATGGATCTAAAGCCTCTTAACTTACATGTGAAACTGATCATATTTTCAGGTAAGTTGTTTTTTAAGTTTTTAAATGTTGCAGTTAAAATGTTGCCAATCAGCATGAAATTCTTTTAATGTGTCTGGAAGCTGATACTGTAGAAACTAAAATTTTAAAATATGTAGTAGATAAGATTAAATCTTTGGGGTGAAGACTATTTCAAAAGAATTTTTTAATAAGGAAAAATGAAAAGGCTCTTTAAATTGATTTTCAAGTTAATTTTTATTACTAATACAATTTTGATTTTCAGTATGCATCTTTCAAATACAGCCTTTTGGGATAAACAAAGGTAGAAATGTTAAGCTAATAAGCAGGAGAACACAGTCTATTTTAGTAGATGTGTGGACAGTGTAAATACTTCTACTTTGAAAAAAAATCAAATGTGAACATCTACTTTCTCTTACCAACATTTCTACAGTTCCTCTCTAATTATAATAACTGAGCCTACTTGATATATTTTTTATCCAAAGTTTCAATTCATTAATGTATATATGTGTATGGGGCCAAAACATGAGATAGAGTCAGATAAATGGACTAGAATCATGTAGTTTTAAAATTCAAAATACAAACAGTATTTAAATCATCTCAATAACAGATATTTCACACACATGCAATTATATTTTTAAACTGAAGATGAAAAGAGGTGGCAAATTAGTGTACTTCAAGAGAATGCTTTTTAATCGTGGTAGCACAGAACTCTTTCTACCTCTGTGATTGCTACTAGTAGAACAATGTCATACAACACATGTGGTATATATTTACAAAGCAGGTGGCACTAGTGGCAAAGAACCTGCCTGCCAATGCAGGAGACGTAAGAGATGCAGGATGGATCCCTGGGTGGGGAAGATCCCCTGGAGGAGGGCATGGCAGCCCACTCCAATATTCTTGCCTAGAGAATACCATGGACAGAGGAGCCTGGCGGGCTTCAGTCCATCGGGTCGCGAAGAGTCAGACACAACTGAAGCAATTTAGCACACACGCAAGCTCTTCTCTGAAAAGACTATTATATGGAATATAACACAAACCAATTTTATTTATTTATTACTATTTTAGCTGGTCTGTGCAGCATGTAGGATCTTAGTTCCTAGACCAGGGGTGGAATCCATGCCCCTCATAGTGGAAGTGCGGAGTCTCAAACCACTGGACTGCCAGGGAAGTCCCAAACTGACTTTATTTTTGTGAGAACAGTAGTTGTCTAGGCTTTCTCAGCAGGAATCAGTTGTCTACATGGCAGCCTTAGCTCAAATATTAGCTTGAATGTAAGCAATCTAACTTTACTCCTTTTGTGAAAACTGGAGATAGATACCCATACATTTTGTGATGATTTGACAACGCACTTCTTTTTTTCAGAATTATATCTGCAAAGTATAAGTCCTTGAAACATTGACTTCTAATAAAAATGAGATATTAATTTCCCTGTGAATTAAAAATGTACAACTTTCCTGCCATGTGTTATATTTTCTTTTCTTCTTCTTCTTTTTTTTTTTTTGATGTCTGGAATAAATCCAGATAGCTTAATACAATGATTGTTTTGATCTAGTGCATGCAAAGAGGGACATGTCTGTTTCATAATAATATTTAAGTTTAAAATGTCTGCATCTCTCTATTTTGAGTCTAGTAAAAATTTTAGTGAATCCTATAATGTATTTAAAACTGGAGTATCTAAAATCTAAGGAATTAAGGAAATAACTGCTAGCATTTATAAAAGAAAACAACAAAATAGGATATGATCTTGTACAAAATTCCTTCTGCTAAATTCCACATATCTTAAAACATTGACGTCTAAAATAACTGAACCACCACAAGGATTTTTATGTGGGGATTCCTGAGAATTGCTGACAGATTAACCAATATACCAGGCATTTTTTTTTTAATTCCATAGGAACTCTTTAGGAATCCGTAATTATATCTTCTAATTTGAGATATAATTCAAATTTCTATGAAGTACTCTACTTTTCTTAATAATTGAACAAATTAGTATCTGGGTGATTCTATTACCAATAGAACTTACTGTGATTTCTTCAGCTTTTTTTTTGTTTGTTTCCAAATAAGGGATTACTTGTATCCTGGCAGTTGTTAAAAAGTATTATTCTGTGAAAGAGACGATCATAACAATAAATTCAAGAGTCAAAAAGTAAAACAAAGCAAAACAATCATATTTAGAAACCTAAGAATGTTTTGAACACTCAAGATGTTTTTATTTTTTAAATATTCTCATACTTGTTTATGATGTAAAGTACTTTGAATTTCCTTGTGTTTAATACTTTGTGGGTGTGACAGTGAGGAGCAGATGTTCAACTGATTGTCTCATGGGCATGCTAACAAGACATGGGTCATGGAGTTGTCCAAGCAACTGTTTAACTTCCTTTGAACATCCTAATGATGCTTTTCTAAAGAAGCACCACTTGTTACATAGGCTTCTGTGGCATGCTTTCTGTAATTAAATAAATGTTCATGACCTACAGTTGTATAATAACAGACACATCCATCTACCACTTCCTTTGATCCATTAATAGCTTTTTTTCTTCACATCAGCCCTCACTCCTGTAGCACATAGCTCAAACCCTGCTACCCAACAATTCCTCTTGGACCTTTAATGATATGTTGTGACACCATTGACCTATCCACTTAAAGTTAGTTTGATATTTATATGATGAGCAACAAAAATGAATAATGCATCAAAGATCATTTTACAAATGACAGAAACTCAGTTCAGAATATCAGAGCTGTTAAGTATCTAGGAGATTAAATAATCTGATCTTCTCATCTCACAAGTGAGGACACCTGAACCCAGAGTCTATTCCTGTCTCAGGCCCCTGGCTTTAAATAGATTAAAAATAAATCCTATACCTAAATCTTCTATTCCCCATGCATTACACCACTTACCTCAGAAGTCCAACTGAAATGTATAATTGTCTTACTCTCAAATATTTATTTCTTTCTGAGAATGTCTTTGTCTCAATTCCAAAAACCAAATATGAATGTTACCAGTTTTTAAAATATATTTCAAATAAATGCTTAAAATAACACCAAGGAAATCCTTTTTATATAATTATTGCTCATACTACCATTGGAAACTTCTCAATTGTTATATTCCTTGCTGTTACTGCTAATAACAATTAGCATACCATGTTTCATTAATTCCATCCTGGACTAAGGCACATATAAGAACATAGTTAATTTTGTTTTAATTGAGAAGAGTTTAGTTGCCTAAATTCTCCATATTAATGAAATAAATGGGATTTCTGTGTCATCAGCACAGGAAATGAGTTCTTCTTTAAAGAAATTCTCTATGCATCTGCAGAGAAGGAAGTGATTCACACTCCAGTGTGCATACACACACAGATAAATGACCTATGAGAACAAGCCAAGATCAAAAGTGAATCTAAACTATTAGAAAAGTGAAAAACACTGCAAAGAAACATAAAAAAATCTAGGTGGCTTACAACCAGTTCTGCTAACTTCATGTTTGACGTCTCCATCCCCTTGGGTGTGGGTTATAGTTGCAGTTGGTTATGGAGAGACAATAATCAGACCTGGTCTCCATGGGCATTATTTCAGAATCGTTTCTGGAAGGCTGCCTGTAATATGCATGCGGTGCCTGTGAACCATACTGGGAGCTGGGCATACTATAATTGGGTGGGGATGCAACATTATATTCTTGCTTTACAAATGAGCCCACACTGGGTTTCTGGGTTTGAGGGACATAGGACAGTCTTGCATTCCATTCCTCAAACGGCCCTGGAAGCACCTTTCTACGAGCTGCGGAGACCACATTTGCCACAATGGATTCCTGAATGTTTCTGGGTCTGAAGGCCTCATCCACTAAGCCAAGAGGAGACTTGGCTGCTGCTTCCCAAGGAGTCAGTCTCTTTGCTTCCTCTAGCCCATCAGTTGGTTTGCTAGTGTAGCCGTAAGCAGGCTGGTATAACCAAGGAGATGTTGCAGAGATGGCAGGTGGGACTGGTCTTCCAGGAAGAGAAAGAGAGCGTCCAGTCTGCTAGAAATAATGAAAATGTTAATATAGCTCATTCATTTTGGCTTATGCTGATTGGCTATTATTCCAAAGCATTCTCCACACCATTACTAAGCACTATAAAAATCAACAAATCCCCACAATGTTTATAATTAAAACCAAAATAGGCTGCCTCTGCCTGGCATATTATTAGTGCTGGTCTGGGACTTGACCTTCCTTTAGGACCTCCTTCTTGCTCCACTTTTCTGAACCCATAGCTCAAATTGCTACCATCTTTCTTAGGCATCACCACCATTGCAAGCCCCCTGTCATCACTGGGCCACCCTTTTTCTGTCTACCCTCTTCATATTCGTATCTATATCCACTCTCATTCTAGTCCTGTTTTTCTAATACTGAATAAGCATAAGTATATAAATAACTCTGGAAACAGACCAAGTTCTACTGGACTTTGTACTTTTTCCAAGTGACTTTTAATATTTTGTCTTATTTTTATCTTATTTAATATTTCCCATTTGGTGGAGTAGATGACATTTTTTCCAGCCAAGTTCTATTTATATATTGATGAAGACCACATGGATCTTTATTTCCTGAGTGTAGTATATTGCCTGTGTCTCTGAAGGAAACAGTTCAGCCACTTGTTTCATTTGTGCTTTGGTTCCTTTTATGCATATTACATTCCTTATTTCTTTGAGAGTGTGTGTCCCTGAAATGTTCCCTTGTGTATACTAAATGTTCAGTTTGTCTAATATGAAATACAATTTACTGAAAGCTTTTACTCATTCTATATTTCCAGGGACCTGTGAAGAAAGCTGAGTGCTGAAAAATTGATGCTTTTGAACTGTGGTGTTGGAGAAGACTCTTGAGAGTCCCTTGGACAGCAAGGAGATCCAACCAATCCATCCTAAAAGAGATCACTTCTGGGTGTTCATTGGAAGGACTGATGCTGAAGCTGAAACTCCAATACTTTGGCCACCTCATGCGAAGAGTTGACTCATTTGAAAAAACCCTGATACTGGGAGGGATTGGGGGCAGGAGGAGAAGGGGATGACAGAGGATGAGATGGCTGGAAGGCATCACTGACTCGATGGACATGGGTTTGGGTGGACTCTGGGTGTTGGTGATGGACAGGGAGACCTGGTGTGCTGCGGTTCTTGGGGTTCCAAGGAGTCGGACATGACTGAATGACTGAACTGAACTGAAGTCTGGTTATACACATTACTTCCTTACGTATTCCCATTTGCTTGAGACTCAGGAAAACTCCTGGCAAAAAGTAGCAAAGGCACACTTAAGAGAAATGAATCAACTTGGGATTATCATAGCACTGTGTTTCTTGAACAAAAAGCATTGCCATGCTTTAAAATGTGTTCAAGTTCCATAAATGGTTTCAATATCTTTTCTTTCTTTATCAAGTTCTTATATTTAAAATGAATAGCAACACCTAGATTTGGACAAAATATCTCCGCTTAAAATGTTTGAGTTTTTTGTTGTTGTTGTTCCATTAGGCACACAAAGGTAGGTGGTTCATTGTTGTTTTGCATATAAAGCATAAGAGAGTCAATATAATGGATCTTGATTCTCTCTTTTTAATCATTGAAACTTTAATAATAATGGAGAATTCCCTGGTAGTCTAGTGATTAGGACTTGGTGCTTTCACTGTGGGGGCCCCGGGTTTTATCCCTGGTCAGGGAACTAAGATCCCACAAGCCACAGGGCATGGCCCAAAACAAAACAAAACAAAAAAAACTAGTAAAAACTTGTATTCATTAATCTCCTTCTCTTAATCTAGATCCAATAAGTTACTACTTAAGGATTTGGTTTCTATTCCACATTATTAATGCATTCATTTCATTCATTTAACAAAAATTTTATTGAATTCCTAATATTTCTAGGCATTTTCCTGCAAACTCAAGATTCAAAGATGCTTCAGATAAAGTTCATGTCCTCAGGAAGCACACAATCCAGTACTGTTTTTAGCTCTGCAGTTGTGAATTAGTCAGTCAGAGGTCAGTTTAGAGAAGAGACTCATGACCTCTCTTGACAGGACCAATAGTTTTATACATTAAGAAGTATTAACATTCAGTATGATTAAGGGCTTCCCAGGTAGCATTAGTAGTAAGGAACACACCTGCCAATTCAGGAAACTTAAGAGTCACAGCTTCGATCCCTGGGTTGGGAAGATCCTCTGGAGAAGGGCATGGCAACCCACTCCAGTATTCTTGCCTAGAGAATCCCATGGACAAAGGAGCCTGGTGAGCTACAGTCCACGAGGTCGCAAGAGTCGACACGACTGAGCAACTAACACACATACCCAACCCTCCGTATGATAAAGAGAAATTAGCTCTTATCTCCCATAGGCATGTCTATGTCTGCCTTTGTCCTTACCTCTGGAAGAAAGAGAACATTGATCTATAGAGTTGCTGGGGCATTTTTCACATTCCAATGATACCTGTTTTCCATCAGATATAGCAGCTTTTTTAGTCAGGTCTTTAAAATAATAGAGACTTAAAGGATGGCTATAAAAGGATCCAAGTCTTCACAGAAATATAGGAGAGGTTCCTTAACATACATAAAGGTAACTAATATCACTGGCTAATAGCTGGAAAAAGAAATAATTATCAATATATTTGGAAGTATGAGGTACAATGTGAATGCATGCAGCTCAGTGATAGTGCATGCAAAACACTGGAGAAAGAAATATATTTTCCGGTCTTCTACCCACTTAGTCACAAAATCTTCAGAAGAATGGAATCTTAAGAGAAATGCAAAAGTTTAAAACACTGTTGAATGATATTCTAATAACAAAGACATCAGGGATTGTTCTTCAGCTAAGGCAAAAACAATCAGTTGAATGTGGAGGGAAAGAGCAAAACTTTGAAATATAATATTGAAAGAGTAACTCAGTTTTCTGAAGAGAAACTTAAAATAGCATTGAGTTTACACATACAAAAAGTCTTGTAGAATAGACATATGCTAAATATAGCAGGAGTGCAGTGACCTCAATGAACAAAATGACTGCTGCTCTTCTACATGCTCCTCAGTCTGCCAAATGTGACTTCATGCTCCTTTAAGTGCTAACAATAGAATAAAATTACAAATTGTCTTAGGTTAGACATGCACCTGTGGTATAAACAAATAGTTCTTTAGGTACATTGTTGTTTCTGTTCATGCCAAAAATATTTCAGGCCTCCAGTTTCTGCCTGCACCCAAACCCCTAATTCTAACCTATTTCCCCAAAGCAATTTTCACATCTTGTTCTTTGGTGCTATTTCTTTCTGTCAATCTCTGTCCTGAGGCTCATACTGTTCTCTGCTTGGCTGGCTAAATGAAGCCATGTGATCCATCCTGAGCCAGAAATGACCAAAGGGACCTGAAAATAACAGAAGTGTTTCTTCTATTTTGGAGTTTGGATGTCTGATGGTAGAATCCTAGCATATCATGGGTTAGATTCTGGATTGGAATTTCTACCTTGGATTGTATTATTATCAAAAGAATTGAAAGTTTTGATATGAAAGTGCTTAACTATAACCAATATGTTAAATTGGTTATTTTTTGTGAATAATATATGATGTGTCATCAAAATGCTTCTTTCTTTTTGTCTCCTACTACCCTTTAATTTTTTTTACCATAAAATTATTTTATTATTAATATAAACTGGATTGGATTAAGAAACCTATCTTTTAATAAAAGAAATTTTTTCATTGCTGCTGGATGAAAACTTAGATCCTGTGACATTCGACTTCCTTTTAGGATTAGACCATCATCATCTTAAATTACTCAAACCATCATCATCTTAAGTTACTCAAACCATTATGTTTTAACTTACAATATTCCAGCCACTGGAATAACAAATTTAAGTCTCCTCTTAGAGGTAAAGCTCTTCTCCTTCCCTAACTAGGGCTCATTTACCTTCAGGGAAGGCAATGTGTTTAGCTTCTTCGTGCTTTCCTCCTCTTCCTCTCCCAACTTGCTAACCCTAACTCCTACCCTGAGGTGAAAGTGCAAGGATAGAGAACAAGAAAGAGCAGAAATTTTTTTTTTACTTTATATAGTAACATCACATTCTGGCTTGTCCCTCTCAGAGCCAGGGTGGCGCAGAGAAGAAAGCTTCTAAGGGATATTTGAAGTCCCTATCACTAGGGACATCTTGTCTGTAGTCCTTGATTAATGTCAGTTCATCTCAATTCTAGAGTTGGCTCGTAACTCAATCTACAACCCCTAGAAAGCTGTCTGTCTACAGCTTGTAACTACTAGGGTCTGTTTGCACCCTTGGATAGGCCCTGGGACACCCCCATCCAACTCTGCCTTCCTTCTGCCCTGCTCTGGTCCATGCTCAGGGTCCATCATTTGCCCTTGGGAGTTCAGCAGCAAATTTCCCAATTCTTTGCCAAAATAGTGTTTCAGACCATCTCTCACTCTATAGATATCCTGCGAGGGAGTCAGACCCCAGCCCACTCTGACCTCCCATCCACCCCCATGCTGGCATCTCATACAAAGTGGTTCAAGAAGCCACTTTTGACTCTCTTTCCTCACAAGGCTGGAAGTGAGAGGGCAGGGTCCCCCAACTCCATCTACTCTAAACACACACCTTGATCTGCAGACTTCCAGAATTCCACCTCACAAAATCCTTTCTTCCTGCTAGATTCTGACCCCCTTTAATAACCTGGACCTGACTCAGGGGTTCAAGAATGGTGGCAGTGATGTGCTCATCTTTGAGCACACCAGGGACGCTCATGTCTCCTGTTTTCCCTGTAAAGTCTGTGTTTATCTGGGATCTCATTTCAGGGTGCAGCATCTCTTGTATTTGAGGGCCTAGGAGGAAACGTCTACTTTTAATATCCTATTATATAATATTATCATTTCATTAGAGAGTATAGTTCTTTCTTTTTGAAATGAAATATAGGCTAAAAATAAAATATGTGTGTTTGTTTGTTTTCCTAGTAACATCAAATAGTCTTGAGTTGAAACCTTTACCTCATCCAGGCCTTGCTCTAGAGAAGGGCACTCACTAGTTTCCAGGCCTTCTC